CCACAATTTCCATCAGTACCACAGGAGTCGTGAATCATCCCCCAAACCGGCAACAAGTCACCGCAGTGGGGTTGCCATTTGCAGAAAGAATCCAGGTCTCTTGCCTCGCAGGGTGAGATGAAAATTGTTTTATAATTCAGACGCCTGAGAATTTCTCAGCCGCTCCACATGTCACTTGCAGATGGGCTGGCTCTCCCCCTGCGCGAGTGGAATTGTCTGCGAGGGGTGGATGGGATGTGAAGGCGGAACTTTCACCCGGTGGAGCGGCAGACGGAAGCGGTGGGGAGCACGAGGCCTGGGCTCGGTGGGGCGCAGGTGGGCGTGGGCGGGCCGTGGTGGGACGACATCCCTGCGCCCTGGAGACCACGTGGGGCCCAGCATGCGGGGGGCAGAGCAGGGCCTGACCCTCCGTATTCTCTGCCCCAGGGACCCGAGGGCCCCGAGGATCCAAGACCTGTTTTCAGAATGAGGGGTCGGCCAAGTTCAGCCCAGTAACTCAAATCTCTGAAAACAAGAACATCAATAACGAACAGCCCCGGCCCAACCTGGAACTAAGAAATCCTAGCCGAGCAAAAATCAGATTTTATTTTTCCTGGCGGGTTCACTTTGCTCAGTTTTGATTGTCTTGGATAATTTGTTAGAACTTTACACGAGCTTCCTAAAAGGGGAAGTTGGAACCCACCTCAACCAGTGAGGCCCCGCCTCGCCGAGCAGAGCCTGAGGGTAGACGCAGAGGAGACGCAAACGATGCTGGGACAGGCTTCGGATCTAACGGGCTTTCCGCTCCATCAGGGGAGACAACTGTTTTTAGGTTTCTAAATTCTAAGTCCTCGGCTTCCTCCCTCCTTGGCGCTTTACTTTGTTCCAGGGTATGGGAGCCGCGTCGCTGGGCACCGGTCCGCCCTCATTGGCGCAGCGCTGCCCAGCTCCGCGCACTGCGAGGGCCGAGGGCGGAGAAGCCAGTGATGCCGAAGCCTTGATCCCTTGATCCCTTGATCCCTTGATCCCTGGCCTCCCGGAGCTCGCGCCCAGAGGGCTCGTGGCTAAGAGGGAGGCACTACCCACGACGGCTGTTCTGCGCAGACTCAAGAAAGGGAATGAAAAGCGATCCTCCTAACGTCACTGCCCAGTAATCGAACAGGGTCAGGGAGATGCCGCAGGACGAACCCCGTTTGATGCCGGTATTGAACTTGGCCTCGGTACGTCTGGACGTTAGTTTGGGCTCCGCCACACGTCAGCTGTGTGACTGTGGGTGAGTCCCGTCGCTCCTCTGAGACTCAGTTTCCTCTTCTGTAATTAGAGAGAATTACTAACGCTCTCCTTGGTTTCGGCCCGTGTCCCCGCAGGACCCCGATGGCCCACTCCGAGTCAGAAGAGAGTGTCATGAAGGGTCCCCTCTCAGGGATGTGGGCAGGGTTATGGCGCTGACGAGGGACCGGCCAGGAACGCACCTCCTCGCGGCCTCGGTGGTAGGTGAGCGAGCCGGGAGTCCCTGGGGACAGCGGGTCTGAGCTGGGACACGGAGGGCGGCTTAGGTCTTGGGCAGAGCAATGCCACTGATGTGGACAAGGTCATCCGGAGCCCACATTCAGTTGACTTCCCTGAAAGCTAAGAGGTTGGGGCCGACGGTTGCGCTGGGAACAAGCGACTGGAATATTACTGATTCAGGGATATAGAGGGTAATAAAGTTTGCCATTAGCTCAAGGCTGCCCCCACCGTCTGGCCTGTTCATGAGGTTCCTCGGCCGGCCCTCGGCCTTGAACACCGAGGAGGCGCAGCCGCTGGCAGGACCGGCTGCAGGAACCCTCGGGGCTTGGAAGTCCTACGCCCCTCCATTGTGACGGGTGGGCCTGCTTCTATGACAACAGCGGGCACCCCCACGGCCCGCCTGGGAGAGGCGGAGCACTAAGATCAGGAGTCAGGACGAGGCGTGGCTCCCAGGTGTGGAGGGCTCGCGGGCCATGGCCAGATGAGGGAGCCCGCCTCAGCCGCCCTCGGTTCCCGCCGAAGATGACCAAAGGCAGACGCTTCAACCCGCCTTTCGACAAGGACGGGAGATGGGTGAGAAAGATGGGGCCTGCCTGGCGTCTCTCAGGCCATGTGGGTGCGGTCAGGGCCCAGAACCAAGTCCAGATCCCGCCTCTGCTACTCACTGTGGCTACTTGCTGTGGCATGACTTGGCAACTTACTGCCCCCAGCCTGAAATGGATGAGTTCCTGCCCCATCTATGAAACGGGGGCCCGGGGGCACCTCCTCCTGGCATCCTGGGCACTGCCTGCCTCCCTCTGCTGGAATACAAGCTCCGTGGAGCTGGGACCTTCGTCTTTCTTAGTCACTGACTGCATCCCGAGTGCCTAGGATAGGATCCGGTGCACAGGAGGATCTCAGAAAATACTTGTTGAAGGAATTAATATTATACTAGAAACCCCTAAACAAATTCCCATTGACCCTCAACCTGACCCCTTTCCCCACCAGGCTGTGAAATGGGAGAGGTCCGGAAATGCATCATTTCCCCATCTCGGTCATTTGAAAACTTTACCTTTTCAGCTTCAGCTCTTCCTGAGACCCCTCTCTCATGATGTCACTCACAGAGCCCGGTGGGATCTGCCACCTCCAAGGAGCATGTGCCTCACACCTACGTGTGCAGTGCTGGCCTCGTCAGAATACACGTACACACACACACACACACACATATGTTCTTTCATACACACCCTGCTTCATTCCAGAAAGACTTAAAGTGTGGGAAAGCTTCACAATAAAATAGTAAAGTATAAATAAATATTCAGAACCAGTTTAAATATACTTTAGAATACGAGGCTGAGGCTGGGAAAATATATAACATCTCTGTACAGGCCATAGGGCCTGTATGGTAGCATTTGGGCATCAAATCTGACTGAGTTCCCCGGCAGCCAAAGGAAAATGGGAAATAGTGTGAACTATGTAACGCTAACCCGTTACAAACAGAAAAACGTTAAGTTTCTCAGACTAAGTAGCTTCGCCTCTTTCTAAAACCTGCAGCATCAGTTAGGATTGTGTTTGAATATTATGAAAAGCTGATTAGAGTGTCTTAACCAAAGAGAGGTTTGTATTTCTCAAGTAACAATAAATCCAGAAGTTGGCGGTTCAGGGCTGGTACCAGGTTCGGTCCAGCCTTCTGTTCTGACAGCCCCTGTGTGGGGCTGTGTGACTCAGGCTGGGCAACAAGGGAAAGTCAAAGGACAGGGGGACAGAGGCATCTATCACCTAAGTCTGCCCCTTCTTAGGGACCCCCCTCCTCCAGGGTGACCCCATGGCCCGTTCCTGTACATCCTCAGGAGAGCCTGGGTGCGAGGTTTCTGTGGCTGCTTCACTGCACTTGACCACCACTCCTACCCCCCCGGGAGCCCCACCCACAGACTTCTGCTTCGTCTCATGGGGCCACATGGCCACTTAGCTGCAAAGGAGTTTGGGCGGTATTTTTAACCAGCCACATTGCCACCCAAACAAAGCCAGGCTTCTGTCACAGGGAGTAACCCCAGGACTGTGCCCAGGACCCCAGTCCAGCCGGACAGAGAGTGTCTCCCACAGTCCGACTTGAGCCTTTGGTGTGGGCGCTTTCTGCTCCCAGCACCTGAAGTTTCCCACAGTGACTTGCAGACAAGTTGGGAAAATTAAAGAGATTGGTGACTTGCAGTGGGCAGTGGCTAGTTTGGGGGGGGTTACTAATGGTCCCATTAGAAGTGACACTCGGTTTGCAGTTGACCTTGCTGGCTGCAGTCTGGCCATTGCCAGGTAGGAGAGGCCTCTCCACGCACATTCACCTTCCTAGTTAGCATTTCAGTCACTGAGCAATCGGGTGCAGCAAAAATTTCACCGCCGACAAGTTAAAAAGCGATATTTCACGGTTACAATGTCCACCAGAAGGCTTTATTTCACAGCTGTCATGGGATAGCCATTAAGTATATATTTTAAAAGAGTGAAATTAAAATGCTAGAGCCATTTTTTACAGTGAATTAGCCCATAGACTTGCAGAATACAAATGAACTCAAGTCAGTTGTCATGTGGGTGGGTAAGAGGGATCGTATCTGATGCGGGAAGACGGCCCATGGTGGCCGAGGGTCCGCAGCTTCCGGGCAGGAGGGTCGCCGGTCAGACTGCGGGAGGTGAAGGAAGGGCTCTGCGCATGGAGGCCCTTTGTATGATTCATATTTACTTAAAACATAACTGTTTAAAAACATTAAAAATATAATACAGGATGAATTAGAAATATGGAGATTGACTTTGAAGAATTTCTAGGGTATGTTGTTAAGTGAGAAAAGCAAAGTGCAAAACAGTACGTATTATATGGTCCACTTTTTGTAAACCTCTGCATGGTATCTGATCCTACGGAGCACTCAGATGTTAATACCGTCACCTGGGATGGCCGTGGGGGTGACAGGAAGGGGAAGGAGAAATTAGCCAAGAGTGACTGTTAGATAAAAAGGTATTTATAATTTTTAGCAATCACATTTTAAATATGGTCCTATGTATGCAAAATTATACATCTATAGGGTGCCCCCAAAATGAATTTTAATAAACACTGCCTTTATAATTATTCAAAGTGTGCGTATACGTTCTCGGTGGAGGGTCACCTGGGACCCTTCGCTCCTCAGCCTCCCTGTGCCTTAGGGTCCCCCTCACACCTGCAGGAGTCGGCTGGGCCCTGTGAACATGGGTGGGTCTTGTTCCCAAGCACAAGTTGCACCCTGAGCAGAAAGTAGGTCTCGGATTACACATGTCGGTCTTCCCCAAGTTCGCGGCTCACTCCTGCGGGGCCGCACCCTCCACACCGGCCACAGGAATAAGTCCAGCTCCAGCACTGCAGGGCGGCCCCTGAACTAGAAACAGCAGGCGGTGATGGCCTTGGGCCATGACAATATTTTTTGTCTTGGAAAGAATCCTTAAAAATTATGCCATTTCCATCGCCTGCCAGAAGCACCCAAATTGCATTTTAATCGCTTTATGGAGGAAGCCCTGGTACTTGGCTCAGGCGTGCAGAGGTGTCTGGTTTTAATCAGGGCGGGCGCTGTTTTCCAGTTCCCTCACATCGGGATGACGCAGAAGACGCCCGAGTCCATCACGAGCGCCATGCTCAAGGAGCCCCACAACCCTCACTTCTCTCGGCAAATGGAAGGGAAGCTGCCGCCCATCTACAAAGTCCCAGAGAAGGTGAGTCCCGTGCTGGCCGCGGCTGCAGCTTCCACGGCACTCGGGGGAAGGGGGCACCCCTGCCGTTGGGGGCCAGGTCATTCTTCCTTGGAGGGACCTGCTCACGTCCCATCCCTGGACTCCTGGCACCTGGTCCCCGTGACACCCCAGGGCCTCCTCCTGGTCCAGACAGTCAAGTTAAGCTCATCTGTGGACAAGAAGTCACCTCGGGTTCCAACCCCCACCCAGTTCACTAACACCCACGTTCTGCGTCCCGGCCAATTCCTGAGCGGCTTCAGGGCCGTGGGTGGCCCGAGGGAGAAGGGGCATTGGTTTCACACTTGGCTGGCCCCCCTGCCACCAGGGCCTACAGGGCCTCTAAATTCCTTCCCAGTGCCCAGTTCCTCGGCTGTAAACTTTTCCTTCCTCGCCTCCAAAGAAGGTGTTTGAGAGAAGTTTTATGATTATTAGCAGCAAAGGTCGAGCTTCAAAGCCCGAGCTGGCTGCGCGCCTGTGAGCTCACCCCCCCGCCCCGGTGCCCCGTCGCCGGCGGTTTCTTTCTTACCTGGCGGTCACCTGGCCTCCGGCTCCCAGCGCGGGCTGGGCTCTGACGCGCCCCCGTCTCTCCCTTTGCCTTCCCAGCAGGTCCACAGCAAATTCCCCTTCTCCGTGCACGACAACCGGCACAGCCTGCAGAATTCGGGATACTACCTGGACTCGGTGAGTGCTTCCCTCCGGGTGCCTGATCCCCGGCGGCGGCACCAGGGCTCTTCATTTTCTTGAGCTGTGCTGACGACAGAGGACTGACCTCAAAACTGGAACAAGGTCAAGATTAAAGCCTCATAATAGGTTACAGAAAAAATAAAAGCGTGAAGCTCTCCGAGTCCCACGCAGCCTTCACAGTCTGCGGCAGCCTTCCGGCCGGGCGCTTGCCCACCGCCTGCCTCTCAGATCCCTCCTGTCGACCAGCCGTCGCTTCAGGGGCAGGAGGGAGCGCCCGGAGGTCTGCAGGCGGCCCAGACCCCACGGGGAGGGGGCAGCGGGGGGCAGCTCACGGGACATAGAGAAGGGCTCCCCGGCAACTGGAGTTGTCTTTTCTCTAGAGGTGGTGAGCTCCCCGTCGCTGGAGAAAATAAAGGCTGATCGCACTTGTCAGTGGAGGTTGAACGCAGCACCGTGCAATGGAAATATATTAAAGGCCATATATGTAATTTTAAATGTTCTAGTGACCACATTAAGTAAAAAGAAACAGATGAAATTAATTTTTATATATTTTGTTTAATCCAGTAATTCTCCAAATTGTCATTTCAACATGTAATCCATTAAAAATTATGAGTGAGCTATTTTACATCCCCCAAACTGTCTTTAAATCCAGTTCGTATTTTACACTTATGGTAGCTCTGAATTTGGAATGTCCACACTTCGTGTTTTTGTGAGTAAAGTTTGAGGATTTTTGCAATTTACATGCACACACACACACACAAATGTCTATCTTTTTAACGACATAAACAGAACTGAACCACATACATCTTACGAGAAGTATGCTAGTCTCATAGAAAGCATGGGGAGCTTTCCAAAGTTATCTACCTTCTGGAATAGTTTATAGAGTGTGTGGGTTTTCAGTTTGATGAAGGTTCAATAGAATTTTCCATAAAACTATTTGGGTTTGATATCTTTTTTAGGGTAAATTTTTTGATTTTTTTTTTTACTATCCAATTTCTCCCTTGATTATTAATCTAGTCAAACTTTCTATCTCTTCTTGAATAGATCTTGTGATGTGTTTACCTAAAATTACTGATTTCATTTCAAATTTATTGGTATAATATTTTAAAAATACTTACTTTGCTATTCTTTTGCATCTTTCTCAGTTGACTATTCATATACTTGCCACTGTTTTTATTAATGTATTTTTTTTAACTGTGCATATGCCTCAGGTTATTGCTTTGGCATCCCGAAGGTTTTTCTAACTAGGGTCTCACTATTATTTGCTTCCAAATAATCTATTACTTAACTTCTGTATATGGTTAGAATTTTTAAAGATCATCTTTTTGTTGCAAATATCTAGTTCTATGGGTTAGTAAGTTTTACACACAATATAATCTGTGATTTCTATTTTTTTAATTATCTTAATTTTTTAAGATTATCTTTGTTATCTTGTATACGATTCATTTTCAACAAGTGTTGCATCAGTGTTAAGAAAGAATATTATCTTCCCCATCTGTTGGTTACAAAGTCCTTCATATTAATTGAAGACTGGCAATTAATGTTATTTAAATCCTTCATCCTTCATACCCTTTTGTTCACATTTGTCTTGATCTGTCCATTTCTCCTTCCATGAGTATTCTTGGGAGTCGATGTATAGCCTTGCACGGGTTGGTGAAGGACACCTCTTGCAGCGGCTGTCATTGTGCATTTAAAAAACGTAGGATGTCCCATAGCTGGTTGTACTGGAGACCTCAGAATAATATGACCTTGAGTACTTTTCTCCTAATCGTCTCGGTTCTTCCCCAGGGCCTAGGACGTAGGAAGATCCCCCCAGAAAAAAGGCAACACAATTCGAAAAATTTCAATCTCTGGGCGTCTGACTATGTCCCATCTTGTCTTGACGGCTTTTCAAATAACCAAATATCGTACGTCTGCCACGAAGCCTTGGTGGTGCCGATTTTCAGACGCTTCCCGAGACAGTACGGTGAGATATGGAGCACTTTCAAGTTCATTCCTGAGCGAAGCTATGCCGAGTTTTTGAAAAAGAAGCCAAAAGTAAGGTTCGCTATTGACAAAAAGGCCGATTCTTCACTGGAGCCCTGATCCTTCCGGAAGATTCTTGACGAGTTTCCTGACACTGGCCTTTCGCTGGACAGTCTGATCCAGCACAGCCGTTCCGCGCAAGGTTTGTGAGAACGAGAGGCTGACCGTGCCTCCCGCTGAGGCCAAGTGTCCTCGCGGCGAGAACGTACAGGCCACGTCCTCACACGGAGAGACCAGAGAAGCAGCGATGACGGGAGCACTCGCTGCCTTTAAGATATGATTTGTGACTTTTAATTCCGTTGAAAAATATTCAGGTCCTTATACAATAAAAATATGTGAAGATATACACATTTTAAATGAATGTGTTGTAAATAAATTCGATCAATTTTAAAATGGCCACATTAACTTTGGGGGCAGTTTTATTTATTTATTTTTTAATTATTTTTTTAAAATATATCTATTGATTTCAGAGAGGAAAAGAGGGGGAGAGAGAGAGATAGAAACATCAATGATGAGAGAGTCATTGATCGGCTGCCTAGCCCGCAACCCGGGCCTGTGCCCTGACCGGGAATCGAACCCCCATCTCCTGGATCCTAGGTCGATCCTAGGTCACTGAGCCACACCCAGCCCGGCTAGGGGCAGTTTTAAAAAATCAAATAATTAAGATATGGTTACAGTTTCACTTTGAAATTTCAAACAATACAGAAAAAGCAGGTGTTCCCCTTGGTTTTCCCACATCTCCAGTCCTTGTCCTGCGCTCATACGTTAACCATTTGTTTTTATTCTGTGCGTCCGCAACCTCAGAGACGTGCATAACTGCGTACACATTTAAACGTAGCTGTGTTCCAGCACACGGCGTTCTGAGTCTTCCCTTTGATATTTAACAATGTATCTTGGAGCTCTGAACGCTGTCAGTGCGAACAGACGGATTTGCTTTAAACTGCTGCACTGATTCCCTAACACGATGCGCCGTAATTTAAAACATCACCTTCCTGTTAATGAGAGCTCGAGTTGTTTCTAATTTTCGGCTGCCAGGCCCAGTGCGACACGAACACGCTTGCTGAGACTCTCCGCGTGCATGTTTGCGTGGGACTCTGCAGCGACCTCTGACAAGCTGCCTCGCTGGTGCTGGATGGGGCCGATGCGCAGCTCGAGTTTTAATAAATTCTCCCAAATGTCCCCAGGAAAAGACTGGACCAATTAAACTCCAACCAACAGGATCTGTGCGTTTCTGTTTCTCCCACCTCGAATTATCATTTAGATGCTTAAGTATGGATATTTAGGGACCAAAAAAAAAGGTGTCTTGTTATTTTTTGGTTTTCCATTCTTCTGGGTATTGGTGAAGTTGAGCATCTTTTCCTGCTCGGTGGTCCTTTATATCTCCCTCCCGTAAACTGTCACCACCATCCTATACCCAAAGTCTCTTGTTTGTATTTGGATATTTTCCCGATAGATGAATTTTAGAATCAGCTTGTCAAATAAATCCATTGGCCATTTCATAGGAATTTCCCCAAATTTAGATACTGATTTATGGGAGAATTGACACTGTTGTGCCATGGTGCAGTTCCCCATTTATTTAAATCTTATTTTATGTTCTTCAGTAAAGTTTTATAATTTTCTTCACATAGGTCTCACACGTTTCTTTTCTATGTTTATTCCTGCATATTTTGAACTTCTGTGGCTTTTTTGAATGTTATTTTTGTATGTTACACTTTTAGTTAGGTTGTGCCTGATGCCTGAGAAAGCTATTGATTTCTGTATGTAAATCTTGTCTTTTTCACCTGCCGAACTTCTAACAAACAAATAATATATTAAAAATAAAGTTCTAATAATTTTTCAGTGGATTTTCCTGGATTTTCTTTGTAGATGACTGTCATTTGTGGAAGTGAGAATTTCCCTAATTTCCCTAGAGGCCATGTCCTCACACACAGGATTCCGTGGTCTGAGCTCTGCCGTGGGCAGGCCTCTGAACGGCACGGTCCCTGCCCGCTCGACCCCCAGGAATGCTGGTCTCTAGGTTCACTTCCTTTTCTCCTCCCAGGGCGTCCTCACAACCCCTCACTTGCCTTGCCTCTGCCTCGCCTCCCCTTTCTCTTACGCATACCACCAATCTCCAACAACAGTGACCCCAAATTCAGTTTACTGGAGATGAAATTTTAAAAATTACCAACAAGGTATAGAGAGCCAAATCTGCAGCTATGTGAAGGAGAGACGTGTGGATGGGGGACGATATCCGGTCCTCTACGCTGTGGGATTAAACAGTGGCAGGGGGTGGCTGGGTGGGTGGGGACAGTTACCATTTATAAGAACACAAATGAGATAACTTGCCCCTAAAAACAGTCTTTGCTCACTTAATTGTTTTCTACATAAAAAATAAACCACACCGATGGGCGACATCCCAGTTTTCAATCCAGTGAACCGAGAACAGAAGGACACATTAACGGAGGGGTAGGTCTTGGGGGCTCCAGGGTGGACGCCCCAAATACAATACCCCAGCTCACAAAATAAAAGTCTTTGATACCTCAGCATGATGCCACCGACCGGCGGTGGCTGTTGGCTCTTTGTTTTAGGGCGTTGCTTTGAGCAGAGGAGTAAACAGCCAGTTAAGGAAACCCCAACTTGCTAATCGATCGCACGCAGGTGTTTATAGGTTTCTCCTGTTCCGATGAGTCAGACTGGGGCTTGTGCCATCCCAGAAACGGCTCAGAGCTGAAAGCGCGGCTGCGGGCTTGGCAACAATGTTTCCGAGCGACTGCGCAGTGTCGGGAAGCCCCAGTTACTGTAACAGGCGCGTGACCACTGAAGGCTCGGAGGCATCATGCTTAACAGAGCGGAGTGACCACTTTTCATATGTGACCCACTAAAAAATGCTGCCTATTTTTGGGCAGAGAAGCACATTCCAATGGGTCTGTTTGGACATTTAGGACTCATTTTAATTAGCACATCTCTCTGTTTAGCACATTCTGGGGCTGTCTTTGGCCACAGCCGCCTCTGTTCTGGTGGCCGCCGGGTTCTAATACGGTGGCTGTGTTTCTCCGTCCACGACTGACACGACAGCCGTTCCAGAAGCCATACCCGTTCTGCAGGTGGGTGGTCAGCTGTAGCCCCGATGAAAGTTCAGGGCGCATCGCTCCCAGACCACGGGTCAGGGAGCAAGGACACTTCACCCAATGCAACAATTATTTTTTTTAACCTGCAGAGCTGGGACCATATTGGCGAATGCTTGGGGGGAGGTGGGTGTGGGGGAGGAAGGGACCCGATGATAAGTTAAGTGTAGGTTTCCCATATGTGCTGCCGGGGTCGGGAGGAATCCGTGCTCTTGTGGTAACACCCCGAGAACCATCAAACCAGCACAGAGCCTCAGTTTCCTCCTCCAGGCCCCTTGCTGCCACCCACGTGTGATCTTCGGTCGTCCTGGAGTGTCCGGAGCCGGTGACTGGGGAGGACCCCCCTTCGCTCGGCCCTGGGCTGCTCTCCAGGGGGAACACGGCTGGCACTTCCAACACGCGGGGCGGCCGCTGTGCGGGTCCCGGCGCTAAGAGGCCCGGGAAGTCCTCGTGCGTGTGCGCTGCCGGGCATCACCTCTCTACGTGACTCTCAAAGCAAACGAAAGCAGCTCATGCAGCACAGAGCATTTAAGCAAACACCTTATGGATATACCAAAATAATCCCCCAAATATCAAACAAATCAACCCCCGACAGAGCCCGGCTCGCTGAGTAAACGGAACGAACGAAACCGTAACTCGCGTGCTCGACTGGGCTCCACGAAAATGTCGGATTTGTTAGGTGGAGTGCGTGACTTCCCCGCAGAGTCACCAAGATAAGCGCAAATGCTTTATTTTCTCTCCCGATCGAAATCCAACAGGTTTGCAATTCCCAGACTGGGAAATGCAGGCCCAGGAGCCCATTTTCTTCCCTCCGTTCCCCCCAAGGGGGAGCGAGGCTCACCCTGCGAGACCCAGGGGCGTTGCTCCCAGTTCACGGGGCACTAATGTATTGAGCAGGAGCAGAGCGGACACTCCGGGCAACTTCGACAATCCCATACGGAGTCACTGCCACCCATGACAGTCATGTCAAGTGTTATCTCAAGACTGAGGTAGTCCGGTGCAATGGGAACCCCTTAGGCAGGGCCGGAACGCCCCAAACCACAAGTAGACACTTGGATAAGGGGCTCCCTCTGGACCCTGATAGGAGTGGGGCCTCTGCTCCTGGTGGGCTCAGAGCTCCAGCCATTCGACACTCGAGCTTGGCTGTACCATGGGTCATGCTCAGAGCCCTGCCAGGCTTCATCAGACGCGTGTGACCGCTGCAGGCACCTGTCTTGGGACCGACACCCACCTCCCCGCCTGCAGACGCCGCCAGTGACCCAGGCCTTCAGGCTGGGCACTTGCTCCTCTCGCTTCTATGGTGTAAGCTCCCCCTTTCTGCGAGTAACCTGCGTGTGACTCTATTGGCTTATTGGGGAGTCTCCCCTGATAAACCCGGCCTTGTAGAGAGACACAAACACATGTGAGTAACTTTCTGGGGACGCTCCCTTGCCCACGACAACTAGTCTGGCTGCATTGCTGGCAGCAGATCCCCTAGTTGCCGGCAGAAAGAGCGACGCTGCTCATGACCCATGTTCCGTACAGCTGCTCGCAGGGCCCTAGGTGACCACGGGGGACACGGCTTTCGCAGCCCAAGAACACGTGGCTATTCCTTAGGCCCGAGGGAGAAGCATCGAGACCGTCGTGAACATTCCCCCCCAGGTCTATAACCTTCGAAGAAGATTCTGTGACTGTTGTCAGCCACGAGAGGTGTGTCCCACAAACAACACTGAGGTTCCAAAAGAGGATCGGAAAGTCCCAGCACAACCCACGGGAGAAATCTCACTGTTCCTCCAAGTAATATTTTTTGTTGAAACCAGCACCTAATATCTGATATTCTAGAACTTTAAAGGAAGGAACCGACGGTTCTTGTCCTTAGTCAATCAGGATAGTTTTGGCGAAAGCAGGTATGTTTGCCAACAGAATCTGGGCTGGTTTCCGGCTCGTTCCTAACACGGCCCTGCCCCACCCTGCCCCCCA